CTGTCAGAAAAATATCCAGATTCCTGTTGCAGATGGAACAATAAAAATCTTAATTTTTCTTTCATACAGCTTTGATGCATCTAAATTCATAACCTTAGACTTCCAAATTCACTCTCCCAAAGAGCACAAATGTACTTTTCCAAACTGGAGGAAACATTAGTAAACAGCTTACAGGACTGTAGCCCATGAGCCATTAAACCAGCTTTCAAAAAAAAAAACCAAAACAAAAAAACCCCCAACCAAAATGAAAGGAACCTAAGCATTCAAATATCATCATGTATTTAAAAAAAAAAAAAGAAAAAAAATCACAGGGACTGACTTCAACCTAACAACTGAACATAATCTGAATTTTTATCAAACTGGGCACTCTGCATGGTACAGCACTTCCAAAACACTAGTCCATGGATTACAGGCACCTCCTAAAGTACAAATGTCAACAGTGCAAAGCAATTTGTGAACAATATGAAATGAATTGTAATCATTTACACTTGGGATACCAACATCAGGGACAGCAACTCAACTTCCTTATTTCTGGATGGATGACATAGTCACATAATATTTTATCAAGCTACTTTGACCTTTCCACATGGATAACTGCTCTCAAGCCTGGTTGACTGTACATAGTCCACATCCCTGAGCTATCATGAAAGAAAAGGAACAAAAAAGCCAACAAGCTTTCTCATGAGTGAAGCATGACAATTCCAAGAAAAAGTCTGATGGCAAAATGATTTATGAAAGAGTAACTTTCTCCTAAAACATGCAGAACTGAGAGGTGAATGTTACACACCACTTGCACGTCCATGCAAGAAGCAGAAGAGGGAAGTAGAAGAGTGATGCTGTCCCAGATCACATCTATGATATGTAGTAGAGGAAAAGAATCATAGAATCATAGAGTCATTAAGGCTGGAAAAGACCTCTAAGATCATCGAGTCCAACCGTCGACCCAACACCACCATGCCCACTAAACCATGTCCCTAAGCGCCGCATCTACACGTCTTTTAAATACCTCCAGGGATGGGGACTCAACCACTTCCCTGGGCAG